TGCCAGCTGCAAACAATTATTTTAGCTAGACAGTTTAACAGCTATGTGACTATCACCTGATGGTTATCTGACATTTCTGTGGAAGAGGGGGGTTTTTCTCTTACCCTCTCATGTCTGCATAGCTACCTACTAAAAAAGACACAAAATCACATTTTAATTCTAGCCTAACAAACCACAGTTTTATTATTCTTTGTTTGCCATTGGCTTATACTAAAACAGTCTCTTCTTCTGTTTCAGTGGAAGGAAAGTTTTCTGACCGATCTATCATCACTGCCCACTATTCAAACCCAATATTAACTTCTAAACTTTTTTTTTTAATTATGATCTCACATTTATATAGACATGTCCTGTTAGTGGCATGATCAGAATAAAAAGTTGTTTTAGCATATGCAATAACACAAGAGTATAGAAAATATTTTATCTACATGACTAAATTTATAATCTCTTGGTATTGTTTATGATTATAGACAATGGAGAAAACAATGAGAATTTATCCTCTTAGTAGGTATTAAAACTGTACATCTATTGATAATCTTTTATATGTTATACAATTCCTTTATAATATAGCTGTTATAAACTGTGTTGTTCTCCAGGCATCATCAGCATGAAAATGTTTGACTCTCTGTGCAGCCAAAGGAATGGCCATTTTCCATTTTCTCTTTCTGGGTTCAACCAGTTGCCTCTGAAAATCCTCTCTCTCTCCTCTTTTTTTTTTCTTTGAGAGAGAGTTTTGCTCTGTTGCTCAGGCTGGAGAGCAGTGGTGTAATCATGGCTCACCACAATCCCCACCTGCTGGGTTCAAGCGATGCTATTACATCAGCCTCCTGATGGTCTCAGCTACCACAGGTGTGCACCACTATGCTTGGCTAATTTTTTTTTTTTTTTTTTTTTTTAATATTTGTAGAGCTGTGGCCTTGCCATGTTGCCCATGTTGGTCATGAACTCCTGAGCTCAAGCAATCTTCCTGCCTTGGCCTATCAAAGTGCTGGGACTGCAGGTGTGAACCACTGTACCCAGCCTGAAAACTATTCTGTGTTTACCTTTCTTTAAGATTAGGCCTCAGACTCAGGATTAAACAGAATCAAGCAAACAAACAAGAAAAACCCTTACTGATTAGTAGGGTGCCTTTTCTTTCCAAATTTGTTTGAGCCCACAAATATTCATCTTGCTTTTATGGCCCATGGAAGCAGAAAGAAAGACTAAAGAGATAATAGTAGGCTGGGCGCGGTGGCTCAAGCCTTTAATCCCAGCACTTTGGGAGGCCGAGGCGGGTGGATCACGAGGTCAAGAGATCGAGACCATCCTGGTCAACATGGTGAAACCCCGACTCTACTAAAACTACAAAAAAAAATTAGCTGGGCATGGTGGCGCATGCCTGTAATCCCAGCTACTCAGGAGGCTGAGGCAGGAGAATTGCCTGAACCCAGGAGGCGGAGGTTGTGGTGAGCCGAGATCGCGCCATTGCACTCCAGCCTGGGTAACAAGAGCGAAACTCCGTCTCAAAAAAAAAAAAAAAAAGAGATGATAGTAAAAATAGCAGATATATAATTGATATGCTGCTAATTCTTCCAAATTGGTCTGTTTTGTTTCATTTTCCCCATTCGTCAGGCCTATATTTTAGGAAGTCCAGTAAAGACACCAAGGATGGCTAACCCATCATTGTTAGGATCATTTGCAAGTATCGGTTTATTCACACATATGAAGAAAAGTTGCTTAAATGAAAGTGTTTAGGAAATGTTATATATATATATATTTTTTTTTTCAGGTACATAATATATTCTTACACTAAACCTGATAAAATTACTGAGGTGAAGGGGGTAATAAAAAGCTATTTAAAATCTCTTTATAATATTTAGAATAAACATGTTTGTTACTGGGAAGAAGAAAATTTAGTTTGCAAGTTATATTGTAAATGAAGAGTATAGAAATTATTTATTCATCCACTAGCATCTCAGTGGTATGTAGAATTCATACAAGAGATAGATAAGATGTAGAAGCATAAGGTTAAAAAATAACTTAAGATTCGTGCAGAAACCAGGCTCAAATAATCATACATCTTGTCCTTAGGTTCTACAGGCATGAGATATAAAGCCAGTTAAGGAGATGGGAGCTTTCTCCACATAAAATATTATAGATATGACATAAGACCTGACTAGAACCCGAGGAGCTCTCATTTCTAAGACATTTATGTATTAGACGACATTTTGCTAAATATTTGCAAAATGTTAACAAAGACTGCCAATGCCCTTTACTTATGATAAAAACATACCACATACAAAACCTAACAAGGCATGCTAGATCTATAGTCCAGGAATTAGAGGTACATTATGATTCATCAGAGAACATTTATACTGGACCTTAGGAGGAGGGGTCAAATTAAGTACTATGTACTACCAACACCACCTTAAGTGTCAGCATTTTTAGTCTTGGATCCCTGCTTTCCACTGCAGCTGAAATGAATATGCAATCCCTGAGGATACGTGATGGCAACTTCTCTGTCAAAAAAGAAGAGAGCCTGTCAGAATATAACTAGTTGCTGCATTTTTTGTCTTAGCTGCTGTGGTCATTGCAATTGGTAGACCCTTCTTCCATGACAGAGGAGTAGTCATCATATTCCCTCTGTGATTATATATGTATAAAGATCACATTATTGTATATTAAAAACCATGCTCATTAACCATTGGTTTTGGTACTGTGCCTACTCTGGAATAAGTCAAGTATGCTGTCCAACTCTTGGGCATTAAGCCAGCAACTGTTCTGTGGAAGGATATAGTAGCTGTAATGGACCTGGCTGCATTTAAATTAACCCTGTCAAAGAATACAGTGCACTCAAGTTTTGGTAGTCTATGCTTTTTAAAAGAAGAACCTATTATAGAAGAATCAACACAATGAACTCTTCTGGATAATGATTTTAGAGCTACATCACTAAAAATTACATATCCCTGTCCATGGTGTAAGGCATAGCATGAAAGAAATTTCTGAATGGGAATAATAAGGGTGAATAATTTTTCCAATTTATAGAGCCTATCAAAAAATCAGGGAACTAAAATGCTTATGTTAAATATTAAAAATATATTAATAGAAACTGCCAATTGTCAAAATACAACAAAAAATAGTGGCTATTCAAGCTATGTTTCAGAGATCACATGATTCTAGACTACTCTAATTATTAAAAGAGCGTGTACCCTCATTGGAAAGAAAGCTGCACACATATTCTAGATAAATTAACAGTGTATCCATGACCTGGCTAATTATAACATAATTCATTTTGGTACTTGAGTTCTGAGGTCTGCTGTGAAACTGGGAAGAAAGATTGTACAAGACATACAGATAATTCCGTGCAAGCAGTGCTAATAAAATGTGACTTCTTTGCCCTATTAAATATTACAAATCTTGCTTTATTGAGATGGCATACAGTTGTTTACTTATTCTTGTTCTGTCATCTAGGCGGGGTGCAGTCATGCAATCACAGTTCACTACAGCCTCAAACTCCTGGCCTAAAGTGATCATCCTGCCTCAGCCTCCAAAGTAGCTGAGATTACAGGCATAAGCCTCCACACCCAGCTAGAAGGCATTAAAATTTTTAAATGCATCTAGAAATAAAACTTAGGATTTATAACAAAGGTAACAATGCAGTAATGTGAAGAAAGGATGATCATTCTTTTTTTCACTAAATGGTGAAAAAAAAATGGTGCTAAATGAATTGCATATCCACACAGGAAAACAGTATCAGCTCCACCAATACTTTACAGCATACACAAAACTAAATTGCAGTGAATTGCAGATCTAAATATAAAATGTAAAACAAATGATCTTAGAAGAAAATATAAAAGAATGCCTCAGTCACCATGGAATAGGCAAAGATTTACTAAACAGAATACAAAAAGCATTCACCACCAAATTTTAAAACCAGACAAATTGAAGTATATTAAAATTCATACTTGGTGTCTAAAATCACCATTAAGAAAGGGAAACATTAACTAATAGAAAAGGTTGACATTCATTATAAATACATCTGACAAAGGATTCATATCCAGAATATATTTTTTGATAAAACACAAAAATTAATGTGAAAAAGACACACAAGTAGAAAAATGAGCAAAAAATCTGAGCAGCCATTTACAAAAGAGGACACAGTATGATTAACAAGCATATAAAGTGCTCAATTTTACTACTCATCAGTGCAATGCAAATAAAAGAACAGTGTAATACCTCTACCCCTACAAAAGAATGGCTAAAATAAAAACAACGGGGAAATACCAAACGTTGTTGAGAATGTGGAGTAACCACTTTGAAAAAGTGGCAGTATTTGTTAAAGTTGAACGTCATTATATTCACTGGTCCAGTAATTCTAATCCTAGATAAATATACATTTGTTCCAACTAAAGATATGTCTAGAATGCTCAGCTACCCTAGGTGTACTATTCCCAAACTGGAAATTACAAAATGGCCAGTAACAGTGGAATTGATGAAGAAATTGTGACTTATTTAGGCAATATCAAAGAAGGAAGAATATGAAGAATCCTCAGCTGTACATGAGGTAGCTGAAACTTACAAAGAATGAGTGAAAAACCCTGACACAAAAAGAATGCATGCACTAGGATTCCATTTACATAAAGTCTGTTAGAAGTCTAGGTAATCATTATTCTTCGGATGTTGGAAGTTGGTACTGGAAGGGGGCAGGAGGGGGGTTCTGGGATGCAACGTTCTTTTTTTATTTCCTCTAAGTTCTTGTTATATGGGTTCGTCCAGTTTGTGAAAATTTATTCAGATGTACCCAAATCAAAACTTTAAAACTGAAACAAATAAAAATAATAACTGCAATGGATCACTTTACTTAAAACCAAGGAGATCACAATGAACTCTCTCCCCACCCCCTAATCCCCTGCGCACGCACAACACACAATGAAGTGAAACCTCATTGGCTGGGATCAGTGACGCACTTCCAGAAGCTGCAGTTTAGCGCCGTCTTTTCCATTTCCTACTCATTCCGCCTTCCAGCCATCTGGCCTCCACACAATCCAGCCAGGTGTCATCGGTCCCCTGGATTCTGCCCCTGAGCCAAACAGTGTCCCTCGAGGTCAGCGACAGCTTCTGCTGAGTTCACTGCAGTCCAACTGGCTCCTTACCCGCCGCCATTATGAACATCCGCAACGCTCGGCCCGGCGACCTGATGAACATGCAGCACTGCAACCTCCTTTGCCTTCCTGAGAACTACCAGATGAAATACTATTTATATCATGGCCTTTCCTGGCCCCAGCTTTCTTACATCGCTGAGGATGAGGACGGGAAGATTGTGGGCTACGTCCTGGCCAAAATGGAGGAGGACCCAGATGATGTCCCGCATGGCCATATCACCTCACTGGCCGTGAAGCGCTCACACCGGCGCCTCGGCCTGGCCCAGAAGCTGATGGACCAGGCCTCCAGGGCCATGATAGAGAACTTTAACGCCAAATACGTGTCTTTGCATGTCAGGAAGAGTAACCGGGCAGCCTTGCACCTCTATTCTAACACCCTCAACTTTCAGGTTAGTGAGGTGGAACCTAAATACTATGCAGATGGGGAAGATGCTTATGCTATGAAGCGGGATCTCTCGCAGATGGAAGATGAGCTGAGACGACCAGTGGAGCTGAAGAAGGGCGAGTACGTGATCCTGGGCTCCAGGGAGAACCAGGAGACCCAGGGCTGCACAGTTTCTGGCTTTGAAGAGGCCTGTCAGCAAAAGAACCCAGCTACCGAAGATAGTGGCAGTGACTGCAAAGAACCTAACGAGTCTGTGGAGAGCACCGAAGTCCAGGACAGCTCAGAAAACTCAGATTCTACCTCCTAGAGCATGCTTAAGGTATTTTGTCTTCCCTGACCCAGTACCTCCTTCTCCTAAATCCCTGCCTCTTGCCTTGGCCTGCCCAATTCCGTCCTATCTTATTCCATTCTAGCCCTGCTAGGTTTTATGGTAAAAACCACCTGGTGACCTTAGGGAGAAGTGTAGAGTGAGTTTAGCGAGACTCATTGCTTGCTATTGGTAGTTAGTAGGATACCAACTCATGCTGGAAATAGATTAATTTCAATGAAGAAACAAGCATTTATGCTGTTTTCTGGGCATGAGTTGTATTTCAGGGTAACCATGTAGTTGATGAAAGGCAGTTTTTCCTTATGGAATTCCAGTTAATAATAATGATAGAAATATAAAATCATCATTTTGTAATTATTGATGAAATAATGGATCCAGCCAGGAGGCTCAATGGCTAATAGCGTTAGGTAAAAGTTGGAGCACTTTGTAATGATGGATCAGACCGATAACATTTGAAGTCAGTGTAGTCAGTCTTAACATCACTAAACATGGAGAGAAATATGTTTCTCCTCATACAACATGAAGTGCACAGTACCACCTATGAAATATTCTTTCCAAAAGAAAATTATGAGATCTAACTACCATTTTACAGAAAATAGACGGACTTAAACCATACCGTGATGCAAACAGCCAAATCCAGAATGGGAGGTTTTTACAGAGCAAATGACCTGGTTTCTTTAACAAATAAATGGCATTGAAAAAAGAAAAAAAAATTTCTATTAAACTTTACATTTATATTAACTAAACTTAACTGTTACGGACATTGTTTGGATACTGATTCAAACAAACTATGTGTAAGACATTTTTGAGATAATCAGGCAAAATCTGAACAGGGACTGTATTCTATTAAGGAATTATTAATAATTTTATTAGAGGAGCTAAATGGTACTGTTTATTATGTTTAGAAAGTCCTTATCTGTTAGAGATACATACAGAAATAATAATAGCTGAAATAATAGGATACCTAGGATTTTCTTTAAAATAATCTGGCAAAGAAAGAAGAAAAAGATTGGAAGAGGTAAAATGAAATAAGAATGGCAATATGTAATTGTTGGGTTGGGAAATGGGTACTTAGGGGTTCCTTACGCCATTTACTTTTTCAAATGTGAAAATTAACATGAAGAGTTAAAGAGCCAAAACAATTCTTGTACTTCTTAGTACGTACTTATGTGAATACTAAGAAACTACTAAAACTAACTGTTGTTTTTTTTTTTTTTGAGACAGAGTTTTACTCTTGTTGCTTGGGCTGGAGTGCAATGGTGCGGCCTCGGCTCACTGCAACCTCCGCCTCCTGGGTTTAAGTGATTCTTCTGCTTCAGCATCCGAGTAGCTGGGATTATAGACATGCGTCACCATGCCTGGTTAATTTTGTACTTTTAGTAGAGATGGGGTTTCACCATGTTGGTGAGGCTGGTCTTGAACTCCTGACCTCAGGTGATCTGCCTACCTCAGCCTTCCAAAGTGCTGGGATTACAGGCATGAGCCACTGTGCCCAGCCTGAAACTAAGCTTTAAAAGATTGATATGTTAGAAGCAACTTAATTGTAATAATATAAGGCCACAGTATTTCTTCCATCAAAGAAATTTGTATCCCCTTAGGAACTTCAAGAGTCAGTGAGCTGCCAGCAGCTTAGAAGCTTTAACTTCTTAATCTAGTCACCTTCCCCTTACATGTGTGAAAGGCAGCAACTTTCTTATGGCAAAGCCTAGTCATAAATAGCATATTCTATATATAATTTTAATAAATGCTATTTGATTAGTCTACTTATTCATAAAAATATTTCTTTGTCAGGCATTTGGCTTGAGCTGAGTATACAGCAGTGATCAGGACAGACTGATGTTTATATTATAGAGCATTCAAGCATAAATGGACTGTATTGTTTTTGCATTTTAATCCCAAAACTCAAACAATAGCACACTAACCCCATTTTATTTTCATTCAGTTACAGTTCAATACGTTACAAAAATTTGGATACAGTAAGTCTTTGGTGGTTAGAATCTGTCCTCAGAGGAGGTTTTAATAACCTGAAAGTTTCAGAATGACTGATTCATTTAGTCTAAGGTTAAAATAAAGGTGGCAGAACAGTCTAAAAGCAAAGATGGAATTAAACAAAACTTGATGCCTTGAGAAAATTGTTGTCAAATTTACACCTCAAAAATTTACATCTTGAAAATTCTGGAGGGCTCTATCAACACTGTTTGAATCAACAGGCCTTTTTAAAAAAATTTCAACTTTCATATTGTCCATAGAAGGACTTACACAGTATTGATCTCATCTTTGTGGTTAGTTGCTTCTCTTCAGTGTTAAACTCTAGCTGAGAACACAGCTAATCAGAGGTTGATTTAAAACCTTAGATGTGTTTTAAAAACATACCTACAAAACTTTGATGAATTCAAAAGCACTTAACATCTGCTATGAGAAACAAAAATAACTGCCACTGTTGTAAAAGAAGAGAGAAATAATAAGGAAATTCATTGTTGTGTCACAGTTATAAATTTCAGCATACAAATTAAAAAATAATTGAACTGTTTCTCTATGGTACTATATTTGAACTTTGTTTCTGAGTTGAAGGAAATGTTTTGTGGACTGAGCTTCACCCTCTTTCTGAGTTGTTATCTGCGGAGACATTTTCAATGGCCCCATACAATCCTTGATCCTCAGGATGCACTTCTGGGTCTTTTCCACCCAGAGGCCTCTTGCCATTTTGGTAGCAAGGGTATATTAGCATTAGTCTGCACAGGCTAACTGCTCTAAAAATTAACTTCGAAATTTCAGTAACTTAACCCAGTGAAATCTTATTTTTTACATCATATACAATGTGGGTCATCAGTGTGGTGGTGATGTGGAGTGGAGGGGAAAAGGTGACCCTACTCCATGGGGTCATTTAAGGATCCATCTAGAACAGGGATTCTTTTTTTTTTTTCCCCCATTTATTTATTTTATTGCATTTTAGGTTTTGGGGTACATGTGAAGAACATGCAAGATTATTGCATAGGTACACACGTGGCAGTGTGATTTGCTGCCTTCCTCCCATCACCTACATCTGGCATCTCTCCCCTTGCTATCTCTCCCCAGCTCCCCACCTCCCACCATCCCTCCCCTATTTCCCCCCAACTGACCCCAGTGTGTAGTGCTCCCCTCCCTGTGTCCATGTGTTCTTATTGTTCAATACCCACCTATGAGTGAGAACACACGGTGTTTGATCTTTTGCTCTTCTGTCAATTTGCTGAGAATGATGGTTTCCAGGTTCATCCATGTCCCTACAAAGGACCCAAACTCATCGTTGTTGATGGCTGCATAATATTCCATGGTGTATATGTGCCACATTTTTTTTTTTTTTTTTGAGACAGAGTTTCACTCTTGTTACCCAGGCTGGAGTGCAATGGCGCAATCTCGGCTCACCGCAACCTCCGCCTCCTGGGTTCGGGCAATTCTCCTGCCTCAACCTCCTGAGTAGCTGGGATTACAGGCACGCGCCACCATGCCCAGCTAATGTTTTTGTATTTTTAATAGAGACGGGGTTTCACCATGTTGACCAGGATGGTCTCGATCTCTTGACCTCGTGATCCACCCGCCTCAGCCTCCCAAAGTGCTGGGATTACAGGCTTGAGCCACCACGCCCGGCTGTTTCTTAATTTTCTATAGCTCCTGTTGACAATCTTGTGAAGCAGAAAAATGTTTTTAAAATAGGTAAAAGTTATAGTAGGTTACAAAGAAAAACAATTTCATTGATATACAGTTATTGAATATTTTAAAAATATTTTTGTTTTAATAATATATGTGCTTTTCGTTAGCATATTGAATAGCAGGGAGCCTAATTACTGTTATTTCAAAGTAAATTTGAGTATAAATGATATTCAAGATATTAAGTATCTATAATGTGATATGAAAATACCTATGATTTTTACTGGTTACAAAGTTCCAAGTATCAGTAATACTACTGCACGTTAATTCCTACATTTAAAATGGAAAGAATTGCCAGATTTCAGTTAGAGATTGATGAAAATACAGAATTGTTTTTGTTCCAAATCCAAGCTCATGCTCCTGCATTTTATTAAATATATCCCAGGTTAATAACTCCTAATTAAATGACTCTTGTCATTTTCTAGACTCATATGTCCTTCACCTTGTTCATATATGTTAACTAGCAGATGAGAGAAGAGAATGTATATAGTGGTTCATAAAGGTTTTAAAAATCGGTCTCACTTAACTAACTACAGGGGAGGCTAGGATATTCAGTTTAGCTTTGTGCTCAGAAAAGAAAGGAAGGACTTCAGTAACAACACAGCATAGTTTCTGCCACAATAGGAAACATCCTAGTGGTGCTCTGGACTATGAGAAGTTTAGCTTCCATGGGATCATACAGCTGCTCTTAGTCTATGACATCGCCCAGGAAACTCTTGTTAGGCTGCTGAGGTTGTCTACGTAAACACCTGACATATACTTCTTACGGTCTTTCACAAACTTGGGCATGGAAAACTATGGGATTCTGCTATCTTGCTGCCATTATGCCACTCATTAAAACCTGGAAGAAATGACCTCTCTCCTCTGAAGTCCCCCAAACTAAATCTTCACTTCCAACCCATTTAATAGGGATTCATCAGCACATAGGTCTAGGCCCCTGAATAGGGAAAGGCTACAGTGAAGAAAGAAAGAACAGGAAAAACATTTAAAAGGCTCATACTGCGAAAGTATTATACTTCCACAATTATGCTCCCTCCTGTGGAGCTGGAGTTCAAATGTGTACAGAAAAAATGTCCTGAAAAATTATTTTCCATTTTCCGTTATCTGTACTTTTGGATTTGGGAACAGAGACATAGTTAGAAGTGATTCCGAGAAGGACAGTTGGTGAAGAACTGGTCGATTTCATCTAAAAAATGGTAATAAAAATTACTCCAACACTATGAAAATGCACTGTGTTGCAGGTATTATTCTAAGCACTGTTAATGATGTGTTTCATTTAATCCTCTTAATAATCCTGTGAGCTAGGTACTGTTACTCCATTTTGTGGTTGAGGAAATCATATCACAGAGAGGGCTGCATGTTATACCGATAGTAAATGGAAAACAGGAATGCAGACTCAGGTGGTCAGACCCCATGATTGAGAGGATTAAATGAGTCAATCTATGTAAATTACTAAGTACAACTCCTCACACACTGTAAAATATTCCATAAATTTTAGCTCTTAATATAATCGATAGTAATAGTAACCCTTCAGGTTCTCCTCTTCTCTACAGTAATCAAATTATATAATGTGTTTGAGCAGGAACAGTTTGAAATCTTGGAAGGGAAATGCATCTTAATGATTAAAATAGCTTTAACTGACAAGCTGAATGTCAAAGCATTCAGCTGAATCATCGCTCCTCAATGGCAAAGTTTCTAGGAAGCCATAGCAATGAAGACAGGTCAGTTCAAAACATGCTGGTTGAGGCAGGAATGTCATCAAACTGCTGCTCATCTCCTGACAAGAAATATGTGCTTGATGATTAATAACAAAAATGAAAAAATGCAAAATCTTAGCATTTTCAATTGAGCTGGCAGCATTGAGTTAAGTAAGGTTACTTTAGGGACCCTTCCTTTCTGGTTTATTCTTTGTGTTGCTAAGCTGTCATTCTAACAAAAAGTTGTTAAATGTTCACATAAGCATTCACTGAAATAGACAGTTCTTAATTTTACCAGACAACTAATTATAACTGGAATGATATAATGAAATATGGAAGAAACTTACAGACTGACAGGTCTGGTAAATTCCTAGTATAACCTTACCCCAGATATGCCAGAAACCATAGATTTCAAATGCAACTGCACTCTATGAAGATAAAGAGGGGGTTGGGAAGAGATAAAATATTGTTTTGAAATACTAATCAGATAGATGCCATTTATTGAATTATTTATAATCTCTAACAATGTCACCTTTCAATCAGTGTATGATGTACATGCAGGGTGACTGAAATACCAACTTTGTCAGAAGTAACTGATAAAAGCAGAGGTTTTTCCTAAATTTTGTACTCTCTCTATGCTTTTGCATGTAAAATCTAAGGAGCTTTGTGGTACAAGAGGTTAGATAGAATATTTAAATTTCTTTGAATGGGCAGTGATTCAGAAAGCCAGTGTAAAAGCCTGTCTGAAAAGATTCTACAATGCCATTTCTATACATAAATATCTTCAGAAAATTATAGGATTTTTTAAAAAGTAAAGCCATAATACTGTTTCATGTTTATAACACCATATTAACAATTAGCATTTTTGTTCGGGCTTCCATAGTCCGCCTTTATGGAAAATCTGATAGTGTAAAAAATTTGAGCTTAATAAGCTAAGAAATTAAGGGCTTGGACTGGGCACAATGGCTCATTCCTGTAATCCCAGCACTTTGAGAGGCCAAGGTGGGAGCATTGCATGAGGCCAGGAGTTCAAGATCAGCCTGGGAAACATAGCAAGATCTGGTCTCTACCAAAACCAAAAAAAAAAAAAAGTAGCTAAAGTGGTGGTGTATGCTGGTGTGTGCTTATAGTCCTAGCTACTGAGGAGGCTGAGGCTGGAGGATCACTTGTGCCCAGGAGTTTGAGGCTTCTGCGAGCCATAATTGCACTAGTGTGCTCCAGGCTGGGTGAGAGAGCAAGACCCTGTATCAAAAAAAAGGGCTGTAATACTCACATTTTAAAAGGAACATTTATGAAAAATACCTATGCTCTTAACCAACAGACTAACCTAGGACCTTTATTATAATGTTGCTTGACTTTTTCAGTTTAATTTCTTAAAAATTTCAAGCAGTATTTACTGAGATAACTAAAACAGCTATATAATGGTAGTTTTTATATAACTTCTTTTGCATGCCTATATTAAAAAAAAATGAAAAAGGCAGTGAAGGTAACCTATTCCTCCACATCTTATATCTCTTTTGTTATAGCAAATATACTTTTAAAAATAAGATTTTACATAATATTACTTCTTGCAACTTGCTTCACTTGTTATTTTGGCAAGACTTTTCTATAACAATGATTTTATACAAAAATGCTTTTTAACTGCTCTGTGCATAATAGCCAACCTCAATCTTATTTACTTTTGTGTGCATATGATAGATATGAAGGTACTCGGTAAATATTTATTGAATGGATGAATGAATGGACCTCTTAAATTGCCCATGTAGTAATATTTTTTTAAAGGAGAGGAAAATAATGTTTGTATGATACTACCTTTTACCTGATGTAATTAGGGCACTTTAATGTGTGAATAAAGAAGCATAATGGATATTTTGGTTTCCTGTCCAGGTCTCACAGAAAGAAAATATAACTTACAGAGTTGGACACATTGCATCTAACTTATCAAGAGTTGAAAAGGCCTTTTATTTCTTTAGAATAGGAATAGATTTTCTTCTGAGTGGAGTAGGATGGGATAGAATTTAAAGATGACAAGTAAAATTATCTCAAGTTTCTATAGTTTTAAAATAGGTTCTTTAGGGGTAAATCCCAGTTTTTCGGTGTTCTTTCTACCCCTTTCTCCTGGCAGAAATGTCTTTTAGATGTCAGGAAAGGTTCATGTGTTTTTATGGCAGGGAGGGGAGAGAGCCCCAGATCTGTGTGTGGTCTTTGTACAGTCATCTGAATTCTCACTGATTTCCATGGAGATATCTCTAGTCCAAACTAGTTTCTGGATTTCTTTATCTGCTGTTTCTACCACTAACTAAACCAGTATTCTTTCAGAGCTGTCAGAGCTTAAAGCTTTCCCTTGCTCATTTGTTTTCTTCTCACTTTTCATCAGCATTGCAGGTCCTCATGTCTCAACCACAGCTACCCTGTGAACTCTGGCTTAGTCTGTCTGCTCTGCAGCATCTACTGTGGGGATCATCTCACAGTGACCAGAATGGCTTCTCACTCTCAACTCTTAAACAACCACCTTTCACATACCCTGCTGGGATCATGAAGGAATATCTGGACACAAGAGCTGCTGCACAAGAGCCGAGGAAGTTTGAGACCTGCCATTATAGAACCTTTCTTGGCCTACTCATACCACGCTGCCATTTTATTCTGTTTGTAGTTGTCCTGTGTTGGATGTGGTTATCCTGCAAGGAGGTTTTCTCCTTTTAGAATGTTGAACAGGAAGCAGGGCAAACTTAAAACTTTCCAGCTTTCAGTTTTTGCTATTATTTACCTGGGTTTTCATCCTTGAGGAGATAGTCAGGACCATGGAGTCAGACCTCATGCCTCTGACTCCTCTTTCCTGGAAGAAGTATTATGTTTCCTTTTCCTTTCTCTGGGAACTCCTCCTTTGTACTATTCTGCCACCCTCTCCCACCCCCCTTTTTTTTTTTTTTTTGAGGAAAAGGGCATCACCTTCCCAGTGGGAAAAGGTGTTATGTTAGGGGCTTCTGCTGTACAATCAGAACTTGGAGATTTTAAGAAAAGGACAAATGGTAATTAAATTGGAATCTCTAATGTGCTTGTTTGTGCTAGTTTTCTGTAATGATGTCACCTGCTATTTATTGAGTACCTGCAGTGTTCATACACAATGCCAGGGTCTTCATTAGTAATATGTTTAATCCTTTCGGTAACCCTGTAAAGTAGGTATTATTATCCCCGTTTTACAGATGAAGAAATTGAAGCTCAGAGAAGTGAATTATATATCCATGATCTGAACCCAGTTCTGTTTGAATTCAAAGCCAAAGTTCCTTCTACTTTCCTATTGCTATTCTTTGCATTTTATTTATAAATGTGTTAAAATGTCGCTGCTGTATGTCAATTGTAAATATTTATATAACCTACAATTATAATTTTTTTATTTTTGTCTAGTAAAAATAAGTGAAGACAAAGTACTTTGACCTCTGCAGTGAAAGTCACCAGATAAATCCAGAGTTATCATTACTTAATGTTCTCATGTTCACTGAATGTGAATTACCAAAGTACATAACATTTTTCATGTTTAAATTTTTATAAAAACTAATGCATATGGATTTAAGTCAAAGCCTGGACTTTAACTATCTGATGACAAGAGATAAGTCTTTACTGTGTAATCATAATCAGCCCTGCTAAGCACTTCTTACAGATCTACCCCAGTGCACTCTAAGAATGCCTACCTAATGGTAAATGATTGCCTGAGGCAGAAAAAGTTTTTCCCTACATAAAAGGATTTGGCATTTCTTGTGCCAATACAGTATGATACAATCTATCCTTCCATCTTTTGCTTTTTAATTTTCTCTCTCAATGCTAAATTATTTTATTCTTTCCTTTCAACCATGTGTTTATCTCTTTATTTTTAAATATTACAGCTTTCTAACATCTGTCTCCAGGGCAGCATAATCTTACTGATGAAATATTCCATGTTTTCCTTGAGCTTTTGTCAATATGTCTTGGTGTTAACAGCTTAACAGATGGAGAAACAGAAGGAATAGCCTCAGCTTACCTGAATGATTTTTCTCCAGCACCAGACACATTGACTTGCTGTCTCTAGTAACTTGATAATAGGAGTTGAAGCAATTGGAAAATGAGAAATTACATATGACTTCTGCAGTGTTATTTACTAAAACAATTGGCTGCATTTCTTTGTTATTATCATATCTTCTTTCCCAGTGTCATACCAGGAGAAAGCAGAATTATAGGAGCCTAACTGGTTTGGGCTATCCTGTTTAGATAATAAAAATAAACAGTAATACTAATATTGTTTTAGGCATAGATTAACATGTTCATAATGGTTCCAGGATAGTAGTGGTGATATAGTAGCAGCAGTGGCTTTTTGAAACACAAATTGTGGGAGTCTGTGGTACATTTTTTTTCTGTAATAGCATTGTTCTTTTTACACAGGAAAATTAATTTTTTTATTATTCTGAATAGACTCATTGCTTTTTACTTAAGCATAGTCCTAGAGAGACCAAAGCTAGGCTTTGAAGCAAGGAGGGAGGCCAGTTAATGATGTGAATACCCTTGTATTAGCTATAATAATCTACACTCCTTTTATTCAGTTGCAGCTTTAAATAAACTACTGGATGTGCTCAGGTCTGCTAGCAGATTGTTTAAAGATATTCATAAGGACGCTAAGGTTCCTTTGGTTAAAAGAGGAAAACTTGTGAACGAGGCCTGTGAACTTCTAGAGTCTGTGTGGTTTTCCCTTTGGAGGTAAGAGCAAGATACAAGAGATGACCATCTGAAATAAAAACAATGGGGTGTGTGAATATAGGGAGAAATGGGGAATAGTACTGGAAATTAGTCCAGAGCCAGGACAATTTGGAAAGGATCAGGACTGAAACACTGGAAAGAAAGTTTTATTTTTTATGTGCAGCTAAATCATTTGGGTATAATGTTAAAAATGCAGAGTTTTTTCCCACTATATCTGGTGAGGCCTGAGTATCTGCGTTTCTAACTAGTTCCTACATTGCTCATGTTGCTGGTTGGGAACCACACTTTCACTAATAAGGGTCTTAAAGCTTATCTCCAACCCTTGAACTGGGGTCCAAAACACCTGTGACTAGCCATTAGAATATTTTACAGTATAATGTATTAGTCCCTAAATAATTCAGATTCCCATTCTTAAATACATTTATGTATATACATTTACATAATTCCTGTTTGTCTTTGAGATTGTACCACATAAGGTTGATGGCCTAATAATTTCAATAAAAATAGAGTTAAAAATGTGCACAACAAAAAAGTATATATATAGTTTATAAAATGTATTGATAATCAACATTGTATCTTTTAGGATGCTTTCATATAACAATTTTACCTCACTGGCTTCTAGGCAAGTGAATGGTATATAAGAATTTTAAAAATTTCATTTGTAACTCTCACTCAATTTATTGTGTTCATTGGTTGATAAATTAGCTCAGACACTGAAATTGTTTTCCATGCGGACCACATTTAACAGGATTTGAAAAAGACTACTGAGTCTTTTTTCTGTTTAATTTTAAGGAGCAGCAGAACTATGTATGGGTTCAGGTGGTCTTATCGAGATTTTCCATCTAGGGATAAGAATTTCTAGTCCATTGTTTCTCAAAGAGTAGTTCATATGCTTATTGCATCAGAATCACCTGGGTGCTACGTTAAAAATGCAGTTTCTTTGTCTCTGGCTCAGACTTACAAAATCAGTCCTGTATTTTTAACAAGCCTCCAGGTGATTGTTTTGCACACTGTCATCTGAAAATCATTGATTTGTACAAGGCGTTGAATTCTTCATAAAGATAATATGAAGGGAGCTCTTTACTATGGTAATACTCTGCAGATTTCAATTAATTCATCAAAAGAAGCAAAAAATTCAAAGCAGACATAACAAATTTTTGTTTATTATAAAACATGGGAAAGGATGAGGTAGTATATGGGAACTCAGCTCACTTTCTGTAAACTTAAAACTTCTAAAAAATAATTTATAAATTAAAAATATTTAAAAATTACATAAATGAACATTTGACACACATTGTTCCACATGTACTTTAGATAAATGTGATATCATGTATGTTATTTTTAGGGTTTTTTTGGTCACTACTTTCCTCCTCCTCCTTTCTTTTCAAGCAAACAATAGCTACAACTTGGCAATGGTGGTATACAGCATAAGCATGAAGGATGAGAACATTCACAAATCACACTATGAAATTTTCCCAATTTGTTTCCAGAACAGAAATCTCAAATACTGCAGTGTCTTGTTAGGAACCAGACACCTAGCATGTCTGGAACCACATGTCCTTCCACGCATGTCATTAACTCATCATATCCCATCACCATATGGCCATCTCGAGTTAGAACTTTTAAGAACACAGTGTCCAGCCAAAATCCAATGAAACAGACTAAGTGACTTATCAAGGTCTTTTTTTATATTAATATTTTTTCCTAGACATGAATGCTTCTTTGAAATCTAGAAACACACAGATCATTTCCTGTGCACTTGAAGGGTTATTTAAACACCATGCTTCCTTATTAGGGCATGGGAATTACAGTTTGTGAAGTTCCAGGGGTAAAAAATTCTTTTCATTTCAAATCATGCATATATTGCTTTCCTAACCAAAATTAAGATATATTTGATACCTAGAATAGTGTCGTCACCTCACCTGCATTTTATAGATGTTTACCTAGAGAACACAGTCCTTAGCTAGTTGAATGATTTTCACAAGAGGTGATTCAATAGAGTGAGAAATCACAGAGTCCAGAGTCCAACAGCTTAAATTTTGGTCCTAGTTTGGCTTATTACAACTTGGATATCCTTTGGCATCAGTTGTCTTTTTTACAAAATTGAGATAAAAATAACTTCCGTGCCTTCAGAGTTATTATGTAATAAAGTAGTGTTAAAAAACTGCATTGTAGTTTATAAAAAGAAATAAAAATGTTATTGTGAACATTTTTACTTTTAGACGTTTTTACCCCTCAATTTAAACTGGTGTAGAGTAACAGTGATCATTTTTTTGTTTGTTTGCTTGTTTCCTCTTTAATGGTCCAGGAAAGAACCAGTGTTTCAGAGAATTTATCATCAAATAATAACTGTGTCAGCAAGGACAAATATATGCATGTAAGTGGGTATTTTAAGGAATAAAATATGAAGGTGAATTTCTGTAAATATAGCAAGCCAACTTTCTGTATATTCATTTAAAAAGAAAAGATGACTCCTTTTACTCTCTATGACCTAAGCAGTCATACATAATATATTTTTCATGTAAACCAAACTGTACTTAATCTCCCATTTACATGGTTTTGAGTAAGGAGATTCACACAAACACATACAATGACCAAAGTTTTTGCATATTCAAAAACTTTAGGAAACTGGCTGGGCCTGGTGCTTCATCCCTGTAATCCCAGCTAATCAGGAGGCTGATGTGGGAGGATGTTTGAGGCCAAGAGTTTGAGACCAGCCTGGGCAACCTAAGCAAGAGTCCAACTCTTAAATAAGTAAATAAAACCATGATAGTACATTAGGCCAAGTATCTGGCTGGTTTTCCATTACCACAACTCTAACAAGAGGGTTAAGTCCCTTAGTCTGACTTTTATTCCTGAAAGCTGGTACACAAGTTAAAACTTTGACTGTTAAATAATAAGTGTTAAAAAGAATTTTGAAAAACCATGTACTCAGGAGGGTTTTAAGAAACAAATATTTTAAATTGATCCTTTGGCAACCAAGACATTTTTGCATCCTGGGACAGTGTCTCCCAGTAAGATTCCCAGTGGGTGAGAGGTACATCTCTTTTGTAAAGTGGCAGATTACTGTGAATGAAAGGTGAGAAAGAGGAAGCACCATAGAAGTGCTCTTAGGCAGATGATTTTAGAAAGGTGTACATGTGGAAATGAGAATGCAGAATTTGAGTTCCTTAGAATTACTCATGCCTGTGTAACCCTAGAAAGGCAATAATTTAATATATATTTTTCAACATTGAATACGTGTTCTTTAATTTTATTATCTTCCTTATAATTGTTGGGGGTGGGGTAGATTAAGCCTATATCCAGTAGGCATCTAAGCTGAAATA